AAGGGCCTCTCTGTAATTTATCAAAGATTAACACCTTAATAAAATGTTTAGAGTGTTAGAGTGAGGTTAAGTTCGAAACTCTCACTCTCTAACACTCATTGCCGCCAGCTCTCTCTCTTCTCTTCCTCTCTTGTTTGTTTAGTTTCTGTTTTGCATCTAATCTCAAACAGTTCCATACATCAAGTGAACTGTTTTCAACTGAGACTTCAAACAAGGGTTTCAGACTTTGAGCCTTTGATCAAAGAATTCTGTGGTTTGGTTCATTGAACTAGGGTTTTGGCTTTGTATTGATTGGTTTATTGGATGTTCGACTTAGGTTTGACTCAAACCAATAAGGAAGCAGACCAATTGATGCTGCTGATCCAACCCAATATATTATACTGGACCGTCCAAACCGATTTGATTAGTTTCGGTTCAGATTGGGTCCAATCCAAAACTGGTTCTTTAACAGCCCTAGTTGTATTGCCATAGTGACTTAGTGAAGACATAATCAAGTGGCCAGTCTGGTTATGCTAGTTCAAGCACAGTAGGCCAAAGACTGGATATAGTAATGCCCTAAATATGAAGAAGACATCATTGAAACTATACGGAACAAATTATCTTGAATGGGATCAATCCACCAATATGTATATTAGTAAAATGAGTAAATTGGAATATCTGACAAGGAGTCTAAGATTATGTCAGAAGATCCCAAAAACTCAAAGTGGGAACAAGAAAATTTGATGGGAGTTCACATCTTCCCCCCACAGAACACACCCCAAAAACGCCCCACATGCACATCTTAGCATGCATTGAGAACATCTCCCGTACTTGTCATTGGGAGATGTTCCCAATACACGGTCGGGATGTGCTGTGGGACATTTTTGGGGCACATTCTGTGGGGGGCAGATGTGACTTCAATTTGATGGTGATGTTGTGGCTTGTTAGCTCTATGCAGCCATACATAAATAGGAATTTGTTTTTGTTCCTCTACTGCTAAAGCAATTTGGGATGAATTCAGAGACATTCACAGGCTTAGGACTCTACCAGAATTTATCATCTGTGCACAGAAGTAAATAATACTTGGCAAGGGGAAAAATTACTTTCCATGTATTATTCATCACTTCAGGCTTTTTGGGAAGAAACTGACTACCATAAAACTACCGATTGGGATACTGATACTGATAGGTAAATGTTTAGCAAGCTGAGAGTAAAGGAATGGTGTTTGAATTTTGAGTATGATCTAACGTGATAGCAGGTCGCAACATTGTCAGTCCCCATCATGCATATGTTCTTGTTTAGTGGGAGGAGAGTTGAATAGCTGCTATGACATTCTCCACAAGCATGGTGCATTATGCACTATTATCTTCTAAGTGGAAGGGGGCCTTTGAGAAGGTTATCAGGTGGATGTAAAAGATGAAGTATTTGACTATTATGGGAAACCAATACTCGTAATTTTTTTATAAAATTTCAATCTTACTCATCAATTAAAAAGATGGAATGATTATATAATTTCAGAAGGTATATGCTCCATAACATACCACCATACGTATAAATGCTTAAAATAAAATAAAGATAATAGCTTTTATGGTATAATAACTGTGATATCTACCATAGAAGCAAGTGTTCAGATCTTGGATTTTTTTTTTCCAGTTCAGAATTTATCACTAGAATTTTATTTTATACATTTATTATCTTGATATCCAATATAGGAAAAAAAACCTCGTCTATAATATCTCTTTCTATCAAATCTCTTGGATTATAATTTTTTTACTTCACTTCTAACAGTGGAGGAGTTGGGGATAGTGGCGGTCATTGTGGAGGGGCAGGCTCCATTACAGGGAAGAAGTGTCCCAAAGGACTTTATGGTACATTCTGCAATGTATGGCTATTTTGAATTTCTTCTTTCATGGCCTTTATTTCATTTATGCCCTATTAATTCTTTTATTATCTCCTTTTTAAATGACTTCTTACTTGAACAATATTAAACTTCAATATTTTAGGTTTTCCATTCCCATGTATTGGTTGTGACAAGGTGTCACCACTGCTCACACAACAAACTAACTGTTAATAAGAGCAGACAATAATCCAAATTACAACTGCTGAATTTCTAGAAAATTCCAAAAATTCCTCCCAATTTCAGATCTACTGATTTGATCAAATTCTGGTAGCACCCAAACCCAACCCGCTACTAGCTTCCCAACCAGAGCAACTAGTGTTTCAATGTTCTTTGATCTGTCTTCAAAAAGTCTTCTATTTCTTTCATTCCAAAGAACCCAGCACACTGCTAAAGGAATGCAGCTCCACATTATCCTTGCTTTCCTGCTTCTGTTTAAGTTTGGCCAGGAAGAGAAGATTTCTGCTGTAGAGCTATGTTGGAAAAACACTCTCCCCAAATAAAGAGAGGTAGAATCTCCAAATGAGCTTTGATGTCTTCCAAGAGTAGAACAGATGAAAGACAATTTCTTTGCCCTCTCAACATAATATGCAGATATTTGCCAGGAAAATCCCTCTGCTCTTTAGATGGTCAGCAGTAAGTATGCTGTCGAAAGCCACTAACCAAGCGAAAGCTTCCATTCTGGGAGGAACTGGATTCCCCCAAATCCCCTCCACTTGATCTTATTGTCCAATCCATTGCTTTCCCTACAGATATTTTTGAGAATTGAGAGTCAACAGTCTTCACTTTCTATTTGAGTCCTTTATCCTCTATTATTTCCCTTTTTTTTCCTTTTTCCTTTCTTCTTGGTGCTTAATTGGATATTTAGACAAGAATTGGCTCCAATTTAATGTCTTTTTTTCTGCCTGAAACATATTCTCAGGAATGCCCTGTTGGGACTTACAAAGATATTGAAGGCTCTGATGTATCTCTTTGCATTCCTTGCTCTCTTGAGTACTTACCGCACCGTGCGGAATTTATATATGTACGAGGTAATTCTGCAATGGAATCCATTTTCTTGTAAGGTAGTCAGTTGGGCACATGCTCAAAAGTGCACTTTTGAAAAGAGAAAATTTCCTTTATTTTAGGTATATTCAAATTACTACCCCTTCTTTTAATCAGAAACATGATTGACAGAGTTTTATTCATATGGTGAATGAACAAAATCTCCTGGAGTGCTGTTTGAGATTACAGGAGACATGTACAGCAGCTAAAAATTGGTAAACCAGTCTCATGAATTTACATGAGAATCTTATATATTAGCCTTTGTGCCTGGAACCCCCTAAACCACATCAGACCTACCTACACCATCCCTTGTCAAGGAGAATTACTACCTTTTGCCTTTTATTTTATTCAATCTTTTCCTTGTCTCATGCATCGTGTTGACTATAACTGCAGGAGGAGTTACTCAGCCATCTTGCCCATATAAATGCGTATCTGACAAGTATAGGATGCCAAATTGTTATACACCTCTTGAAGAGCTTGTATATACATTTGGAGGGCCATGGACCTTTGCCCTTACCCTGTCATTCATTCTGGTGCTTCTAACTCTTTTATTAACTACTTTGAGAATTAAATTAGTTGGACCAGATTATCCCTATCATACTGCAGATTCTATGGAACACCACAATCATCACCAATTGCCCTATCTCCTTTCCCTAGCAGAGGTATATTCTATAACTTCATACAGGCCACCTCTTTTGAAGTTTCTCCATTTCTTGGAATAGAACAGTATGCTAATGGTATCATGTAATGAGACTCTTGTACTTGATGCATGCATTAAAACCCAGGTGCGTGGAACGAGCAGAGCAGAAGAAACTCAAAGCCATGTGCATAGAATGTACTTCATGGGTCCCAATACCTTCAGAGAACCATGGCATCTTCCTTACTCTCCACCTGATGCAATAATTGAGATTGTGTAAGGAATCATTTCAACTTCTAGGGAGTGGAATGAATTCATAAATATAATAAAATGAAGGGATGGTACAAGGTACTGTAAGAGCAACTATATATCTATACCTAAGCACATGCAATGGGGCCTGATCTATTCAAACAATAGGCATTCCTGAATATCATTTATTTTAGCCTGTCATCAATAGAGAAGAAAGAAATAGCAAGAAAGATAAATCAAAGAGAAAAGAGAACATATTTAATGCAGTTTGCCTCTATAGCCTACTCTTAGAGTTTAGAGGACAATTTCTCAGCATATTGTTGTGTTTATTAACCTAGCTTCTAAGCTTTGTTTGATGGTTGAAACAAGTTAGTAATTTAAAAAGGTATACCTATGCTTATTTTATCAATTCACAGAATATCATTCTATGTTTTCACATATTTAACAATGTTTCCGTTATTTATATAATTTTTATTGTATTTCTATATGATATATTCAACATTTCCGACATGGCTAATATTTCCACTGACACTGACATTCTAAACCTTGGATGAGATAGAGAACAAGAAGAAAAAGGTATACAAATTTAACATGGTTCAGCTTTGTATCCTACATTGTTAGGAGAGGGGGGGGCTAGATCCATTATACTAGAAAAATAACTGAAGATACATTCATGAAAATCCAGCCATCTCATTCACTCTCTCAACCATAACCTGAACCAATCATGGCTTAAACAAGCCTCCAATACATAATACATTGAAATCATAGAATAGCCACCATACAAAGCTAGAATTACACTTTAATCTTTGCATAAGGAACCACTTTACAAAATACACCCTTGTATTCTCCAAAATAGCCATCTGATGGAACTTTCTTTCTAATGATTCTTCAGTGTTTAAAAGAACAACCTTGTTCAAACAGCTTGCTTATCAGTTCATGATGCCCTCTTTAGCATACATACATACATATACAGTGGAAGTCTCTTGTTATTTCCTTTCATATGCCCTACAATTCATTTAAAATCCCTTGACAGGTATGAAGATGCTTTCAACAGATTTATTGATGAGATTAACTCTGTTGCTGCATATGAGTGGTGGGAAGGGTCAGTGCACAGCATACTTTCAGTGCTTGCTTATCCTTGTGCCTGGTCTTGGAAACAATGGCGTCGGAGAAATAAGATTCATCGCCTTCAGGAATATGTGAAATCAGAATATGATCATTCATGTCTTCGTTCTTGCAGATCACGAGCTCTGTACAAAGGGATGAAGGTTCGGCTGATAATGCCCCTCTTTCCAACAAATTAAATATCAAATAGTTTTCTATAAGTATGTAAATTGCTTTTAGATTTTGATTGATGAATGCTAAATTGAAGCATTTGGTGCATTACTATTAGATATTCTTTATCAAATAAACAACTTGAGACACAAAAATGCATTTAATCCTGCCATAATTATCTTTTTGATATCGTCAGATATAATTGTTATGATTATTTTTCACCATCGCCCACACGTAAATAACTTAATACAGCTATAATTGTCCCACGTTTTATGGACACATGAGAGGAATGAAATGATAAAATCTTCCTAAACAAGACAAAACCTAAGATGTGATGATAGATTTTATCAACATTAAAGTCACCCACAGGTTGTGCAACAGAGATGAGTATAGATATTGCACTATTGCTTACATGATCATCTACAGATAGGCACTAGGCAGTTTAGAAGGAGTCTGGATCTGCTGAGCTTGATGGGTTGAACCCTGGGCTGTTTAACTATTGAGAACCCTGGGCTATTTATAGAGAGGTAGCATCTCGTGCCTCTCTAAGGGATGCTTGTAAAGTTTTATCTTAAAGATTAATAAAAGTTCATTTTATTCACCCAAAAAAACTATTGAGAACAATCCAGATCATCACCATACAGGGAGCAGTTTTAATGGTGGGAAAAGATAGATTCATTGGGATGTCTTCCGCAGTCACTGGATTTTGTAATTTACTTTTCAACGAAATAAATAAAAATTAACTAAAAGCAAATACAAAATTTTTAAACCCCTATGAACCCCCTTCCTCTCCCCCCCCCCCCTCTCTCCTTTGCTTCCTCCACCACTGCCACTTTTTGATATAGTGGATTTCTGCTCCTCCTCCTGTAGGCATAGGCAACAGGCTGAACCACATTAAATTTCTGTGTGTTCTTGAGTTGCTGAGTTTTTTGTTTCTATATTTGCCAATCATTCTAGATCTTGGGTTTGCTGCAACAATTCTCTTTTTCTTTAGTTCTTATTTTCTTTTTCCTTTGTTTTGTCCTTCTAGCAAGCCAATACATTCAAATATTAAACAGTCCAGATGATTCAGATATTTATGAAGGGCGATCAATTACCAAAATCGATATAACTGTTTTGAAATGGTAAAAAACTGATCTTATCATTCCATTGCCAACCAGCATATTTATACAGTAAGCTGCTGCAATAAATAGAAAACATCATCCTAAATCAATCCCTATAATTAAGGGACTAACTATTTTAATCCCCATATTTAAGGGATTATACTCTTCCACAATCCTAGGAATACATATTCACACATTCCTATTTTTACACAACTACCAAATATAGATGCTAACTACCAAATATGCATCTACACCAGTAACCCCACGTTTTCCA